GTGAAATCCGGAATTCGAAGTATGAAAAACGGACCATAATATCCCATTATTTTACTTGAATCAACTCATGATATAATTTCAAACACTTTTTATAGAATGACTTTTTCCCATAAATTACACCATTTCCAAGAAAGTCGATGATAAAAGTCGCTGTGCCGACCTACGTCATCAAAAAAATTCTAAGATGCCCGAAATGCAAACACCTCCTTTTTTTTCTCTATGGACAAGACCTGACCTCGTAACATTTAATTCCGATCAGCTCCAGCTCAGCTTTCCTCAATGTATCGTCCAAAAATGTCACAAATATTGAACCAGATTTGAGCTAAATACAAAACGCGGAGGACCATGTTCCAACTCCTAGGAACACTGTTCCTCCGCGTTCTGCCCCATTAAATCCTTTCCGTCCGTGGTAGGTACTTACACTTTTGGTGGTCTGAGACCCAAGTACCAGAACCTCAGATTGAAAACCTCGATGACAACGTCGAGTACACAAATCGCACTTCGCTAAGATGACAGTTTTGGCGCTATCTTTGATGAGTCTCGAAATCCGTATAAATAGTAAGTTCACCGGGACTTAACGTGTCACAACTCGCATTTCCGGAGAATTAGCACCGCGCAAAGCGCCTCTCCCGTCTCCACATAAATATACCAAAACCCCGCGGGAGGGGAGGAGGGGGGTTATAGATAGGAAGACGGGGAGGGCCCCCTATCGCCTCGAAGCAGCGATATATCGATACGTCGAGATGTCGGATTATGAGGCGATTGGACAGGAAACGAGGCCCGTATAACAGATAAATTTCACGATTTTTCCTCATGAATACTTCCTACGGAAATTTAGGGGCAAGATTATGAATTACCTACTTTTCAAACGACAAAAAATTTCATCAACATGAGTGTAATCAAAGACAAACCCCGTTCATTTGAAAGTAATTACAATAAGTTTACATTGTAAACATTTTCGGGTTAATTTTTTAGCCTATTGTATGGCATTTTTTATTTTCCTTTTTCCAGTTTCGACATATAAATGAGAAATTTTTTACGCAGACATTTGATCGTAAAACGTACATTGTGATGCTTGAATTAGGGATGGACCCTACTTTAATCATTTCACTTAAAAAAAGAGCCCACTTAGGCTAGTGTCGCATTGTTTCGGGTATTTTATTCTGCCACGGGGAATTTTTCCGTAAGTAGTTTTTTTTCCTTTTCTTTTCTTTTCTTTTTTTTTGTACGAAGAAATTACCTAATATTTAAACACGCTTTAGATTTATAAATATCATTTAAAGCTTAATTTAGCTGTGAGTAAACTTAACTATATTATACATCATGTACAATTTTAACTTAAAGTAGGATTACTACCTCTATAAAATGAGGAGGGAAATAAGCACATAATTATTACATGTCAACTAACGATGTCTTTTTGTTTTATTTCTAAACGTCTTTGGGTTTAACTTTACTGTGGTCGACCGTCATCGGTCAAAGACCAAGGAGCCCCTGATCCGTCCGAAGATGCGGGGAGGCACACTTGTTTTAAGGGGAGAATTTTGAGAACCCCTGAATTCCAAGCTCATTTGGCATACGTCACTTTAGCCCACGGATACACCGGTCTGTTCTAGGGGCGCAAGGGGCGTAGGTAGGTATGCTTGACTTTTTAGATGAAAAGATCTTTTCAAATGAAGAACAATTCACGGAAAATTTTCTTGGAGAATAACATTGTGCTTTTAAGTCGGAATCAAATTATATACTTCATGCAGCGTTTCGAGATTTTTTTTTACAAAGCCCCATCGGATCGATACATCGATCGAAATTCGATGGGTCAGATTTCTCGATGGACAGTGGCAGACCGTTCACGTCTGCCGCTCTGCTCCCGGGTTGATCGTCTCCCTCGATTTCGGTCGCTTCCCGCTCACCGCTCATTCCTCTCTTCCGTTTTTCACGCGTTAGCTGATTTCCCCTGTTTCCCCGCCGAGGGCGATCGTAAGTTCGCCGTGTGTTACGAGGTCGCGCCCATCCGCGAAGAAGAGTGTCTGTGCGAAATGTGACGGAATCTCTTTTTTTGCAATGTGACGGTCTAGCTGTCGGGTTTACACCGCGGATTAGGGTAGATGCGAACATCTTGCCCTGAAAATAACTTTTCTGATGGTCACTGGAATCCGTAACAGATTCGTATAACCTCAAAATGTCCGTGAAACGTGGGAGTTTTCCGGTTAAGTTTTTGTGACTGTACGATAGAAGTCCTGACAGTAAAATAGCTTATCTTTATGATCGTAGATCCTACAATATTTAATGGATAAGTAAAAAATTATTAACCGAAGTTGACAGCGAGAAGAACAGTCCAATGCACTCGTAGATAAATAAAGACGGATTTAAGCAAAAAATAGCCTTTCGGCGGAAATTCAAATTGTCCAGTACAGCTATGAAACCAGTTTCGGGCCTTAAGTGTCAATTTCCAGTTTTCCATGCTGAACAAATTTTAATAATTCAAGAACTCTGAATCAAACTTTCATGTCATATTTTTTTATTAATGATATTACATAATTGTTCCAGGTGGACGCTTACGAGCAATAATACTGGCAAACTTTAACTATGTACGGTTTTCTAGGGTTTCCGAATTTTTGTTATATCGTTATTTCAATTTCTGCCAAATGATCAATTTTTGGAAAGTTTAGATGTATTAGGGGCAAAATGGTGCAGAATTAAGTTTTTTATATAAGCCACGGTACAGTTGTTTCATCCCCTCTTCCATCACCGTAAGGCACATTTTGTCTGAATCCGTCACTTTGGGTAGCTAAAAGGATGGATCGCTGTGCCTCGGTATATACCCATTTAGGTAGGATTATTGGTGGGTTTAGTGACTGGATACACTCATAAAATAAGCCTGCAATACATTTAAAATGAATCAGAAGAATTAAATAGTATATGTAAGTATTGCAAACAATAACCTAACGTAACCTAGTGTAACTATACCTACTACTATGAGGTAGGTATAAGAAAAGGCTACATAGTCTAGTCTCTATTTCGTCCAGGAAGAAAAAGGATTTTCCTGTGTAGAATGAAGAGTCCGCTGTCTAGCTGGCATTTCAATAACGGAAATCGAAAAATGCGTAACTGTTGCACCGTTACAGATTCTTCAAATATCTTCTTTTTTTTTAATTTTCTGTGCATATTTTCGAGCGACTCAAGAAATTTCACAGAAAGTTTCAAAAGAACCTGTTGATTAATTTGTTTTCTTAAGAGATAAAGAGTGGGCAGCGACTTGATCGGTCGCAATCAGAGTTCCGCATTTTTCGGCCTCAGCTACTTTGAAAATAGATCGCCCAGTAGGTTCCTATCCGTGCAAACGATTGCCTGATGTAAAGGGTGTTCTCTGTTTGTAAAATACGTCCTGAGATCATGAACCTGACGATTGCACAACTCGTGGATATCCAGTAGACCTCTTCCGCCCACTTTCCGACCGAGAGTCACTCTCTCTTTACAGGATTTCGGGTGTAACTTCTGGCTTTTAGTCAATAACACTCTGGTTTTAATGTTGATATTCTCCAGATCAGTGGTGGTCCATTTGATAATTCCGAAAGAGTAAGTCAAGACTGGCACAGCAAAAGTATTAATAGCCTTAAACAGATTTCTTGAGTTCAGCCTAGAGCGTAACAAGACCCTGAGATGCTGCTCATAATGCTGTTGAACCATATGCTTAATGTCACTATGGTTTAGTCTGCGATTCTGTTGGAATCCTAGGTATTTGTAGGAATCATTTTCATCCATTTGTTCGACAATTGTACCATAGAGAGTCTGATCTTCCTCCTCTTCCGCCACCTTTCCGCGATATATATTCAGAACTCTGCTTTTCTCCAACCCGAACTCCATACAAATATCAGCGGATACGGACTCCACAACACCCAGCAAGAGCTTAAGCTCACCCGGCGATGAAAAGTAGATTTTAATATCATCTATGAACATCAGATGACTGAGAATATTCAGAGTTTGTCTGCGCTCTTTAATGTGAAACCCAAGTTCAGTGTCTCTCAAAGCATTCGACAGGGGATTCAGGGATAAACAAAACAACAATGCACTATGAACGCATCTTCCTGGAAAACTCCACGTTTAATGTAAATAAATTCAGTTTCCAATTGGCCGTCCTCCGTTTTGAGGGAGATTTTCGTTTTCCAATTTTTCATTACGGATGCCGGGAAGTGTCTCAACACAGGGTGTATCTTGTAGATTTCGAGGACTCTTAATAACCAAGAATGAGGCACCATGTCAAACGCCTTACTATAGTCGATAAATGTGGTGTTCAAATTTCTGCGGTTCTTTTCCGTTTGCTTCAGAATAACACTATCCATTATTAACTGCTCCTTGCAACCTTTGCTCTGTTTTCGGCACCCCTTCTGCTCCTCCGTTAGGACCTCATTCGATATCAAGTGCCGATCAATTTTCCTACAGAGGGTCGCTGTGATTATCTTATAGATGGTGGGCAGACAAGTGATGGGACGGTAGTTCGCAGGGTTCTTTGTGTCTTCATCTTTTGGTTTAATGAACGTCCTTCCTTCTGTTAAAAACTCGGGTGCCAATTCGGGATGCTGAACGATTCTGTTGGCTTGCTGTGTTAGGTGTGCATGCAATACAGGGAAGCTCTTATACCAGAAGTTTTGTACATTGTCGACACCTAGACATTTCCAGTTATGGGTGCCCCTGATAGTCTCCGCAAGCTCATTTACAGTGATAACATGGTTTGTCTGCTCTGGCACGGCTTCCTGCCGGGCAATTTCTTTTTCAATCCATTCACCACCCTCCCGATGCTGCACAGGATTAGACCAGAGATTTTTCCAGAAAGCGGTCACTTCTTCTTTCTTAGGTGGTGTAACTGGTATCTCCTTCGAGGTCAGATTCCTGTAGAAGGCCTTTTCATTTCTATTGAAGAGGGCATTCTGGTTTTTTCTATCATTGGACTCGTTATACCTTCGAAGGCAAGCTGCGTAAACAGCGAGTTTCATCTTCGAAATCTCTTAGGTTTCCGTGACGGTCTTACTTTTGTCCCTGATGATAAGACTAATCTCTTTCTCCAATTTCTTAGTCCTGACACCTCTTAAATAATGAGTGGTTCGACCAATTTCCTTCCGCAATCTCTCGATCTTTTTCTCGAGTCTCAGTTGCCAGGCAGGTTTCCTCCTTCTTTTTGGACATTGCTCACCGTGCGACCTTAACTTCTGGCCATTTAAAACTGTGACAGTGCAGGCACAAGCGTAGACGACTAAGTGGATTTCTTCGAGATCCGCCTCCTCTGAGATGAGTTCATTAATGATCTTATTATTAATAATCTTTATGCGGTCTTTGCACATCCTATTCATCCAAAGTTTTGGAATTGCTGGCCTTACATTTGGATTACTCCCTCCCCATTTGTCTCTGAAGAATCTAATCTTCTCACGAGTTTCCAGTTCCATCGTGTCTTCAAAACTTGGTACACTATCCGCTGAATCTACAAACCTACGAGGTCTGTTAGATTAGAAACTGGATTTTGGTCATAACTAGCCCACAATGCGTCCAAATTACATTTTCTTGAGCTTTTCTGATAGCTGAAAATATATTTAAGAACGCTATGTTTTTGAAAAATCCTAATTAGCTTCGTTGGTATGTGGCTTGAAGTAAGGCAACCTCAAGGGTGTTTTGCGATTTTTATGTTTAACCGAACTTGTCTCTCTTTTTTCGGTCTTGCACTACATTTTTCAACCGACAAGGACGATTGGAGTTTCGTCTCCGTATCGTAGCCGTACACTAAAGTATTGTCACCGAAAATTATCCCATCTAAAAATGTAGGATCATTGTTAGAAGGTTCAAGCAGCTGAAGGGAAATTGACATCTGGTTGGATTTTCGTTCAACGGACAACAATCAAGGGGCAAGTGTACCTGAAACTCGATGCGTGTCTTCATATTCTATCAAAATTGTTTGTACAGAGCCTTCAGAAATACTCCTCTGTTCAACAAGCTCGAGACGACCATTTTCGAGCAGTTTAGCCCGCACTTCTTCCACGTGACAAATGTCAGTTGCCGTTGAGGATCGATTACCATGCTCCTCATCTTTGACCAACTCCTAACCAGTTTTGAATCGTTTAACCCATTCAAAACAGTGGGAACATCTCATACAATGATCCTGGTAGACTTTACTTATCATATACCAAAAGGTTCGGTACAAGGTATACCGAGTTTAATACAAAATGTAATGCTGAATCTTTGCTTCATCAGTGATTGCATGATGAAAATCGCAAAACGCACCTGACTTACTCGTATTCAAGATGACACAGAATAAACACTGATCAAAGTAAACAAAATCTGTGAACGTAGCGTTCTTAAGTATATTTTTAGCTATCAGGAAAGCTCAAGAAAACCTAATTCGGACGCAGTGTGGGCTAGTTATGACCAAAATCCGGTTTCTAATCTAACAGACCTCGTATGAATTGGATACGCTCTAGGGGAGACCACCCCATCCCTAGCATGACGAGAGAATTCATCGACTGATGATGGCGTGACGATAATGTCCGCCTCTATAGGAGTAGATGCAATATGTAACTCATGAGCAACTTCTCTCTTTATTTCCTCAATCTCCTGCACAGTTAATTTCTTGTTGTTGACGATTACCCGTTTCTGATCCACTAGCCTCTGTTCAGCGACATTAGTTAGATCAGGGTACGCTGCCAGGAACAATTGGCGTAGGTGGAATCTGTACCCTGATGCGTTGGTGTCTAGTCGTGTTGCTCTATAGAAGCAACGCATGACATCGATGTTCATTTCTCTGGTCCAAGTCATGCGCTGCCTCGGAATTCCTGCATTGGTGGTTGCCGGCTGACTTGCCGGTAAAACACCGGAGGCAGGAGGTGAAGGGGATCTGCTCGGGGTTGGCCGTCGTACCGTTAGACGCTGGGCTGATCCACGGCCGTCCTCAGCTCCAGCGTTGTGAGGATGAACTGATACGTCAACTACCTCACAAGTTGACGCAACCGAGGCTTCTTCTTGATGATTTACTGCAAGACACTCGATGACCTGTCATAGGGCTGCAAACCCTATGACAGGGGGTTCGCGGCTGAGAACCTTAGCTTGGGACGAGTCTTAACCTACTTCCTGGGATGCCACGGGTTTGGATTTGGCCGACCAGATTGTTCCCATCCGCTTGCTCGGGTACCTCGGGGTCGCCAGCCCAAAGGGGCCTCCCGTGCAACACAATGTGTTGCCCCTGCGGTTTTATTATTATGTTCTCGTATCTCAATTCACAGCTCGAGGCCGGCAGATATTTAGTCCTCCCCCGGCGATTCAATGCAAAGGAGAGTCCTTGAATTTAAAATTGAAGTAAAAATTTAAAATTGGGATTAAAACTTTAAAATTGAGATTAAAACTTTAAAATTGAAGTACAAAATTTAAAATTGGGACTAAAACTTTAAAATTGGAGTAAAAAACTTAAAATTGGGGTTAAAACTTTAAAATCGGAGTTAAAACTTTAAAATTGGGGTAGAAATTAAAAGTTGAAGTTTAAAATGCAGGTTAATCTATCGGTTGGTGGTAACTATCCATCACCCAGAACTCGCCTCACAATCCCTAGCAAAGCTGCTTTCTGCAATTGTTGATGCAGCTTCTCCCTAAGGTTGATCTTCCTAAGACTATCAAACAACTTCACAGGAATCTCCCCCGTTGCTCCAATAATAATTGGCACAATTATTACTTTGTCCAATTTCCAGAGGCACTTGATTTCGTCTGCCAAAGGCATGTACTTGCTTATCTTCTCAGCATAAGCGCTCTGGATATTCACTGCCGACGGCACAGCTACATCGATTATAAAAGCAATTTTGGCATCCTTCATTGTGAGCACTATGTCTGGGATGTTATTAGGAATGGTTCTATGGGTGCGAATCTTCCTGTTCCAATAGAGGCGGCATATATCATTTTCTTTCACCTGGGGAGGTTCGAACTCATAGTAAGGTTTCATGTCCGTTTCGTTGAGGTGTTCTTTAGCCAGCTCTTGATAAATTATCTTTGCCACAGAATTATGCCGCTCAAGGTATTGCTTTGGTGCCAAGTTGGAACATCCAGCTAATAAATGGTCGAGGGTTTCCTCTTTCGCTCCGCAAATACGACACATGACGTTGTCGACCCTTACTTTCATTATCCGCTTTTGATATGATTTTGTCGGAACTACTTGATCGTGAATGGCAGCTATGAACCCTTCTGTATCAACGAATAAACCTCCTGAGTGCAACCATGATTGCGAAGCTTTAGCATCTATGTCTGCGTCTTCATAGAGTCTTTTAATGTACCGTCCATGAAGAGGCTTAGCCTTCCACTGCCCGATTGTTTGTTCTGTGGTTGGGAGCGTTTCTACTGGGTTGAAGGTATGATCATTCAAATTCAGAGGCGTGATGTTTTTATCCGCACGCGCGATGGCCTGATGCAACTTGCTTTCTTTGGCTTTGTCAAGAAAGTACTTCCTTAGATTTTGAACTTGCTGATGATGTCTGCGCATCGCACTTGGGATCCCTCTGCCCCCTTCCGCTCGCGGCAAGTGGAACCTTTCAACACAACTTCTAGGGTGATGGGCACGATACTTCCGGAATTCCCTCCTCGTTGCAATGTCCAGGGCGTTGAGCTCAGTTTTGGACCAATTGAGAATGCCAAATGTGTAGGTCAACAGTGAAGTAGCATACGTATTGATCGCGAGCGCTCTATTACGTGCGGACAATTCAGACTTTAGTATTGACCTGAGTCTTCGCTTATAATCATCAGAAACTTGTTGTTTTGCAGCTTTATGCTGTTGTTTATCTTTATGCCGGGGCCTCTTCCTCGGGACTTCCGTAAACGCCTCTATTTTATGTGTGATATATATATCTGTAATGTAAACTTAATTAATACTTAGACTCTTTTTTATACATCTCTAACCTGGGCGATGGATATATCCTTGATATTTGCCGTCCTTTTATCGTATATCAAGTAATTAAGTTGTTATTTATATGCCTAAATATCTTTAACAATACTTATCTTATGTTATATACTTATCTTATGTATTATATGTAATATTTAAATACGATAATAAAGATAGAAGGGGAGTGTCCCTGATATAAAAAAAAAAAAAAAAAAAAAAAAAAAAAAAATCGCACTTGGGATCCCTCTGCCCCCTTCCGCTCGCGGCAAGTGGAACCTTTCAACACAACTTCTAGGGTGATGGGCACGATACTTCCGGAATTCCCTCCTCGTTGCAATGTCCAGGGCGTTGAGCTCAGTTTTGGACCAATTGAGAATGCCAAATGTGTAGGTCAACAGTGAGGTAGCATACGTATTGATCGCGAGCGCTCTATTACGTGCGGACAATTCAGACTTTAGTATTGACCTGAGTCTTCGCTTATAATCATCAGAAACTTGTTGTTTTGCATCTTTATGCTGGATTCCTCTCGCTTGCAAGTACCCCAGGTACTTATACTGATCATTCTCAAGCATACCTTCTATTTTCCCTTCTTGTCCCGCATTATTATTATTATTATTATTATTTATGTTCTTATATCACGTCTCAAGGACGGCAAATTTTTCCTAGCGGCCGAAGTACCAGAAGTGTACCTCACTTCTCAGGTACTTCAGTCCATGACTTTTCTAACAATATGAGCTGTCTTCAAGATGACTGTCTTTTGGAGAGCGCTGAGGTTGTGTCTGCCCGGAATCTCTGAGATTGCCTTAGCTGCACTTTTAGAAATGGTGCCTGTTGCTCCAATTATTACTATATATATAACTCGTGTTTTCATACCCCACATTCTTTGCGTTTCGATTGCCAGGTTCTTATATTTGGTTCGCTTTTCGGCTTCTTTCTGGACGATGTTGTAGTCTGAGGGGATAGCAACGTCGATGATGATGCAGGTCTTCTCCTTTTTGTTTTTGATTATAATATCTGGCTTGTTCGCCGGAACGCATCTGTTGGTTTGTATTTGCGTATTCCAGATTATTGTAACGTCTGCAGATTCAGTAACCGGGTCCGGTTTGTGTTCGTACCATTTCTCGCATGTATCAATGTTGTAGTGTTTGCAGATGTTCCAGTGAAGATGGCTTCCGACTGCATCGTGGCGTTCAATGTACCTACTCTCTGTTTGCGAGGATTGGGCATGCAGATACTATATGATGCATGGTTTCAGGCTCAGTTTTACAAAGGCGGCATTTCGGATCTACTACTTGCTTTAGTACTTTAGCTTTGTGGTAGTTTGTCGCAATAGCTTGGTCTTGACATGCTGTGATTAGTGATTCCGTCTCTCCTTTTAGGTCACCATTTCGAAGCCATTTCCAGGTTAGCTGGCAATCAACGTGCTCTTTGGTTTCAGAGAGGTACTGGCTGTGCATTTTTTTTGATTCCCAATTACCTTATCCTGCCTTTAGTTATTTGCTTGGCTTGTTTCACTCTTTCTGTCTCAGTTTTACCAGCGTTCGTGTTTTCAACTAATTCTTCTTGTGGTAGTCCCTCGCGCACCTTCTCAATTTTTGCTTTTTCATGTTGGTAGATAAGCCCAAGTAGTTTTTCGTCGCTTTTGACTTTCAGGTAATTGGCTGTTCCAATGTCGTTTATGTATGCTAGGGACGCGACCTCAGTAAAGCCTCTTCCACCTTCATCCCGCGAGACATAGAGCCTATCAACATCCGCTCTGGGATGTAGCATTCCATGGATGGTCAGGAGCTTCCTGGTCTTAGTGTCTATTCTCCGGAGTTCTTCTTTTGTCCACTTGATTATGCCTAAACTATAACCAATGACAGGCACGGCTAAGCTTGTGATGGCGATTGCTTTATTTCTCCCATTTAACTCTGTTTTGAGAATCATGCGTGTCCCAAGTAGCATTTTGCAACGAAAAAATTGCAATTTAATTGAAATAAAATTTCTAGATGATTTCAACTTTCTTGCAAGAAAATTGCAATTATTTTACAACATCTGACCCCCTCATTGTAAAAAAGTTGCAATTTTTTTTTGCAAAGAAATTTCAATATTGACGACCTTTAAATTTCAACCCCTAAATTTTCCGGGGAAATTATAATAATTCGAACCCATGCTTACCTAATGTCCTACGACGTTTAGCAGCATAAAATACCGGATGCCCTTGAGTGGGCTTGAACCCGACCCGCGAATGTCATAGCGGAGCACTCTTCCACTGAGCTACAGGGAGCGGATGATGAGCTGGGTTGAAATCACGCCTGTTAAGGCTGTTATCGCATGCATTGCGTCAGTGCGTGGCTCAACATTCATCATAGATTTGATTAACGCCGTTTTTCTCAGGCTTCTTTCTTTTGCCTATTATTTATTTTTTTTCGTGTCATTTATTTTTTTCATATTGTTTTTGTCTGATTTTTTTTTTCGATATCACGTAATAGGTACTCACACTAAATTTACACCGGTGTAAATTACACCACATACTAACTTGAGAACTTAAAAATATTTTCAAAAAATATTTTTAAAATATTTTCAAAACTTTCTTAAGGAATATTTTTAACATGCATGTTTACAGGCAATATTTTTGAATTATTTTAAAAATATTTTTTTTAAACATTTTCAAAATATTCCTTTAAAATGTTTTAAAAATATTTTGAAAATATTTTAATTACAATATTGCCATGAAAATATTTTGATAAAGGTGACAATATTTTCAAAATATGTTGGGCTATATGGGTTAGGTGAGACATTTAAGTCGAAAAAACTTTAAAACAACTAGAGAATTGGATGCCAGGCACATGGCGTGAATTTGTTTCAACATGATTGCACCGAAATTGCAGTCTTTATA